TTTTTTTTACTCCGCACATGGTTACTCTCTCCGCACTGTGCAAAAAGTTTTTTTCTTTCCACACTGTGATGAGAGTTTTTTTCTCTCCGCACCGTGCAGAGAGTTTTGCCATGGTGCAAACTTTCTGCACTGTGTGAATAGTTTTTTTTTTAATTAATACTTTGCACTATGCGAAGAGTTTGTCAACTCTCCGCACATGATTTATCATCTCTCCGCACTGTGTGGAGTTTTTTTTTGTTCTTTTGTTTTTTTTTTTACTCATGACAGTTTATATATATTTAAATTATTATTATTTTTTTAATACTAGTGGCATGAGGTGCGGAAGAACATTTGTTTGACCATAAATAAAATGGAAAATAAAAAAATGACATCATGCACATTAAAATTGGATTAATTTACTGTTGTATCAACAGTAGTCCTCATTCCCCTTTTTATAATTATATATAAGAAGTTAGAAATGAGAATGAAAAATATAGTCGTTACGGGACCACACAAAATAGATTTTCAAATATGGTGGCTTGATGTGATGGATAACGGTAATATTTTTCATTTTAATGAGTAAATAATGGGAAACAAACGGGGGCTTAATATTTTGTATGTGTTATTATTATAATTAACTATTCTTTCTGAATCAAACTTGCAACCAGGAAGATCATATTGGATAATATAATAAATATACTTTTTCACCCGTTTCCCTTAATGGATAATGCAGTTAAAAGCTCTTTTACAGAGTTACAAAGTACTGATTGTGTAAGTTTGCTGAGTTTAACAAGATTGTATGAATGGGTTCCGTTGCAGGTTGAGAAACAAGAGTTTGGCCTCAAACCCATGAATTGCCCTGGTCATTGTTTAATATTTGATCAAAGAGTTCGTTCATATAGGGGTGAGTTTAATTTTATTGTGTCTTATATCTGTTTAATAGCATCTGTGTACCTTTGTACTTCTTCAGTCGAAGCCAATATTCTGTTTCAAGTGATTTCTTTGTCTGATGTTTCCCCCCCCCCCCCCCCCCCCCCCCAAACACAAAAAAATGGACGCTCTCAAAGCCGAAAAGGGACAATAGTGTAGGGACAATAGCTTTATATCACTGGAAATGTCATAAAATGAATAGTAGTAGTCAATCCACTGTACATCAAGTTTCCCCTTTAAAAAGGACGCTCTCAAAGCCGAAAATCCACCAAGAAACATTTAAAGAGATTTTTCCAGCTATAGTGTGTTGAGATGGGAATAAAGTTATGGGTAACATTAGTGATGCTAGTGCTTTCATTACTAAATGGATGGTACTGTTTAGGGTGTTGGGAGGAAGAGAGGGCTGCTCTTTTGCACCTCAAAGCAAACATAAACTTTCCAGATGGAAGATCGCTGACTTCATGGGTGGTTAATGAGATTGGAACTGACTGTTGTCAATGGCAAGGGGTTGAATGTAGTAACACAACTAAACAAGTAATCCATCTTAACCTTGATTTCGCCATGGATCAGAAATTAGGAGATTGGTATTTTAATGCCACTTTTATTCTAACTCAATGGTTTTATCCAGGATGATGCTCATATCTTCTGCAGGGAATCCCAGGTAAAATAAGATTTTCTGATATGCAGCTTGCAGTTAGTGCAGGTTGTTTGACCCATTCTTTCATTTACAGATAAAAGATGAAGTCAAGGGCGTCTTAGAATTCATCAGTAACGTGTATAAGATATTTTCACTTTTGACCTGAAATTATCTACGGTATAAATTTTTGGTTGTTCATTATGGTTCTATTATTCTTGTTGACTTTAGAACAAATTAATGTTAATTATGTATTAATATATAGTGCTTGTTTGATTTAGAAAAAAAGAAGCTAATTTATCAACTTTTCAACTTATCAAACTCCAATTTTATTCACACATCTCATTACTCCCACAACTTTTATCAACATTTATCAATATCTGCTAAAACTTTTATCAAAGCTTTGTCAAATGGATTAGTGCTTTACCTGTGCTGTCTATAGCTCGCACAAGTGCTCATCTCTCTTCTTTACCTTTTGAAAAAACTGACAATGCATAGCATGAAGCATACAGATCTAATCATCTTTTATGGTGAGAGTTTAGTAAAAATATAGTCAAAAGAAGTTTATGTAACATGGTTTTTGCGTTGCAGAGACCAAAAAAATATCTTGGAGATTTAGAAACATGGAAAAAGGCCGAAGCTGCTCTTGCAAAAGCATTGGATGAATTCGGCAAGCCCTGGGAGGTTAGTGATCAATATCATGTGATATGTTATGAATCCATCCCCATTGCATAATATATTTCAGTTATGAATTATTGAGGAGATTTTGGTCACATTAACTAGCCCAATGTTTTTTATACCTTGGTGTATTCTGTCTTTACTATTGTGTTATCGTGTCTTAGTATATATGTTTTATTATCGCAACTTACCTTCGTATCTGTCGTCCCTGTAAATAGATAAATGAAGGTGATGGTGCTTTTTATGGGCCAAAAATAGACATTAGTGTTTCTGATGTAATGAGAAGAAAATTTCAGTGTGCAACATTGCAGGTTGGTTTGTTACCTTGAACTTGTAGATTATAAGACAATTTTCCACTTTTCCAGAAATCACAACAATTTAGTTTTAGATACTTTTTGTTACAGCTGGATTTTCAACTCCCTCCTTGTTTCAACTTATCTTACTCAGCAGAAGATGAGAGCAAGATGGAACTTATGATACACAGAACCATTCTTGGTTCTGTTGAACGAATGTTTGCTATACTTTTTAGAGCACTACAAGGGCAAATGGCCTTTCTGGCTTAGTCCACGCCAGGCAATTGTTTGCCCTGTTTCTGACAAGTTTCAGTCGTATGCACCGGAGGTGGGTTAAGTGCAAGTGCTTTTTACCCTTTTCTTATGGACTTATAGATGGACCCCCTTCTATTGAAATCATGAAATGTGAAATGTAACACTGCTTGTTATCACATTGATGGAAAGAAATGTCCTAAAGCATAACATAGACTACGTATTACTGCTTTGTCTTCCTTTCAATTCATGAATGTTTTTGGTCTTAATAGATTACTTCCTAAAATTGCGGAAATCCTTGTCTTGTTGAATATAGGTAAGAAACCGCATTCCTGATGCTGGCTTCTATGTTGATGTTGATACAAGTGACAGAACAATCCAGAAAAAGGTGTGTTTAGAGCTTCTCCCTCAAAACTTTATTTGCTACCGTGTCAACTGCTCTGGTGTTCTGTTCTAGGAAGAATTATGTTCATAAAATAATCCATATTATATATTTCTCTTTTTTCTCCTAAACATGCTTGTTTCTGGTTTTTCAATCCTTTGTGGTGGGCACCTGTGTGGAAATTTTTATCCCAAGTGTCCCTGCGTTATTGTTGTGACCAAGGACCCTGTATTATTTTTTCAATTTCCATTATAGGTTTTCTCATTGATCAAAATTTGGAAGAACTATTATCACTTTTTTTACTGCCTATGTGATAGCATAATACATCCAGAAGGATGAAGACTAGCTAGCATATCTGTCTCATTACAATTTTACTCAGACCGCTCAATTTACATCAAGCTTATACAGCTCATGTTAGGGTCATGGATGAAAACATTGTTTGACCAGAGATGAGAATAGTATTCATTTTGCTGAGCAATTAAAAACTGCATAATAATATAATGTTTTAGGATAATTTTAAGCATTGTACAGGTTTGTCTCCAAAGCCTAAAGCATGAGTTTTCATCTGCCAACTATTTTAAAGAATTTTTGAGCTACAGGTTAGGGTTGAGTGTGGGGGTATGTGGGAATAATAGTATTTTGTGAAGCTGGAAAAATGAACTCGTAGACCTGATAAAGAATTCAGATACTCATTTTTATGAAGTTTTTCACATGTAAAATTTTTGTTGTATACCAAATTGCGCGGTAGGTACTTGTAGGTACGAGAAGCTCAATTGGCACAGTACAATTACATATTGGTGGTTGGTGAAGAGGAACCAAACAATGGACAGGTTAGAATCTGCCATTTTGTGCAATACTAAAAACTTCACATGATGTGAACTTAGTAGTATTTTATGTCTTTATCTCAAAGGCAGAGGTGTCCTGGTTGAATTTTCATTTGTGACATCTTTCCACAATCTCAGACCTCGTATCCTTTATCGACCACGCCCCAGTCGCTTTATAGGAAGAAGTGTGGATTTGTGGTAGTGGCATTGGTTAAAGTTATATTCATATGTTCCTAGGATGACAGGCTTTGTAATGTCTCAAGGTTGACAATATTTGTGGATGTCAGCCTGGTATTCTTCGAGCCAAATGATTGTTCAGTGCATTCATAAGCAGCGACAGGCTGCAAATATCCTCTATCTTGACGTGTGCGCGCTTATTGAGGACCCATAAATTGACATTGCTGGGTTAAATGCAATTTTTCATTGTGACATCAAATAAGATATAAAAATAAAATGATAGATGTTTCTGATAGAAAATTTCTGAATATGTTAATGTTATGGTGAATCTTTTCTTGTACTGAATTATATGCAGTGTGGAATTCTTTGCATGTCTCTCTTTTTATTTTCCCCAATTTATTAAAAGTTGTGTTAATTATTTTTGATAATCTGTACCTTTTCATAAAATTATATTTCCAGGTTAGCGTTCGGGTTAGAGACAAGGCCAATCATGCTGTCAAGAGCATCGAGAGCCTCCTCACAGACTTTAAGGAAGAAGTTGCAACTTTTCATTAGAATTCTCTATCCATTGGAAGATTAGCCTGCAACTGAGTTGAAAACTTAAGAAACAAAAATGAATCCTTGTATACAAATATTTTTATCGAAATAATGGGGTTGGTCCCTTGTGTAGGTATATACCTACATTTTTTTTTTGTGCATGTTGGAGTTTCCTCATCCCTCCAATTTATGTTTTCGATTTAATTTGTGAACGTATACAGTAATGGAAGCCAAGAAATCGCAACAAAATCAGTTACGAATACAATAAGAAACACTTCCGAGTCGAGTGATGGATTGTTATCAAGGAATAAAGATAAGAAAACCAAGCCAAATTATCAATATGAAGTTAAAAGACATTTCAGTTTATATCCTTCGATTACATTTTGCCAGAAGATTATGAAAAGAAAAGCAACAAGAGGTTAACCATATAAATATTTTTGAAAAATAGTACACTACTAAGTGCTGCAGGCAAGCTCCGTAACTTTGCAGAACAAGAAGAAAAAGAGAAGATAATGACTGGACAAACTGTGCAGACATTGATGACAAAATTCACACCCTGATTATAGCTATTAACGAGGTAAATTACATTAGTCATGCTTTCCAGCTATAGCTCATTTCATCCAGATCACTGTCAAAGAACCCATTCTCTGTGAATTCATGCACAATGTCACGTACTATTTCACCTGATAAAGGTAAACCTGATGATGCTTTTTGGCTGCATCCATTATTCCCACCCCCAGCAGACGATTCACAGTGTGAAGCAGTTTTGAAACTATTACTCCCACTTAGAGTAGGTCCAACAACATTTCCAGGTCCATATGCAGATGGAGCAGTTGCCCCTGAATTAGGTCCGTCCCCTGGTACATTGCCACCTGCACCTTGCATAGTGACGGGCTGCTGTGGAACCGAAGTCCCATTATTGTTATTGTTCATGTCCTGCAGATATTGCTGGATCATTTGTTGTTGTAAAGCTTGGCTGCCTTGGGAAGGTTTAGGTTGATTTTGCAGCATTAACCCATTACCACTGGATGCACGTTGCTGTTCATGCTGCTGTAGTGCATAAGAACTAGAAAAGCCACTGACCGATAAATTCTGCAAATTACCAGTAGATGAGCCTCTAAGTGTAGAATTGGGAACCAGGTTAGAATTATTAAAAGAAGAGGACGCCTCCTGCTGAAGAGAATTGTGGTTTGAGTTCGTTGAGTTTTGTCTCATCAACATATTTTGGTAGTTTGCCAATGGAAGAGCACCCTGCACTGATCCAGTCAAAGGTTTTCGACCAACCATATACTGGTTATTGTTCATTTGGGTATTGAGTCCAGGATGCAATGACATTAGTTTATTGAGCGTGTCACGGTCAGTAGGCAGACCCTGAAGACCTCCCATCTGCTCCATCTCTTGCATCTTTTGCATCTGAATGTTGGTGGGCCGCGGAAAATTCTTCAAGCCATCTGAAAATGGAAGATGGAAATATATATATCTATATTAGCATTCTATGGATGTCTAGGCATACTTAAGCCCCAGTTCGATGGCCATTATTGTGTAAAAATGATGTTTTGAATATTAATTTTTTTTGGAGAATGTGTGGTTAAAAAGTAGGGCTTTAAGGAACGAATGGAGATTAAAAATTTACGTGCAAAATATTTTAATGTGTAAATATGTGGTTAAAAATGGGTATGAGAAATAAATTCTTCTGTTTTAAAGGGAGACAAACAGGGGCTTCACTAGAAATAGAGAAATCAAATTACAAAGATGGCATTTGCAGCCAAAAAAGGGCAAATCATTCCATGCATGGATTGTTGCACTCTATTGTGAAGTCTCATCAATGATCTCCCGACATATGTGAATGTACAGAAAGGAGTGTATACATGATTATATTTTTGGCTAACTAAACAATATTAAGGTGGAAAAAACAAAGCTAAAATACTGTTGTCATATCCAGTACTCTGTACCAAACATGCTCAAAAGAATAAAAACTGGCAAAACATATTACCAATTGGCCCGACTTTTTGTTCCCTGCAGAAATTCATCAGGTCTTTCATGCTATTGATAACCTCAGCTATCTGTTTAAAGCAGACAAATACAAGAGGCCTATTAAGAAACCTTCAGCGATCAGTCAGTAGAAGTAAAAGGTTCACTAAAAGGTAAGAGACGTGCCTGTAGGCATCGCACATATCTTTTGGAAAATCCAAAATCATTAACTGATTGTAACTCCAAATTCCTAGCAAGTTGACGTCCAGCTGTTACAACCCTGAAATATGATGAGACACCCATATAATACATCAGAACAGCATACAAATTATATAGTCTGACAGAACAAGTCTACTAGGCCAGACTTTATAAACAATTGAAGTTCGTCATTATATTTTACGATGTTTACATGATTCCTCTCAACAAACATATAAAGCCAACACGAGAAGATAGACAGGCTGTTTCACATCTCTTTCCTATAGGACATGTAAATATTCATGTAGTCAACCCATTCAAGAACCAGTTGGCTTTATAACTAAATGCCAGAATTCAAGAAAAATCCAGTTTAGAAAAGAGTAATTATTAAGGGCGTCTTTGACAAAGCCTTTTATAAAAGTTGATGAAATATGTGGTTGAAAAGTTGATAAAAGTGTACGTCCCATAATGTGGTCAAAATTAATTGACTTTGACCTCAATTTTTAGCAACTTTTTAAGCTTTTCCAAACAAGCATTATCATTTCTAGCTACACTGTGAGCTTTGAGCCAATTATAAATATCAGATCTTATGACCACGGAGAACTTTACAGGGGCTAAGGCATCAAAGATAGAAATCTCTTTATGTTCTACTTCTAAAACTTACATGCTTTACCATTATTATGAATGATGTACAATCCAATTACAATATAAAAGCTCTCAAAAAATCACACGCAATAAATTCTAATAATTTAAATGGTATGCAACCTTCCAAGAAGATTATGTGCAATCAAAATGCACTTCAAAATCCAGTTCGAAGATCTGGTGCCCCAACTCTTAAAGATATAAGAATACTATCTTTGCAAACCAAGAACTATGAAACACTCAAATACTTCCCTTTTTATGGAAAAGAAAATAAATTAATGGACTAGACTTGGTGGAAATAAAAAAGTTGAAAAGAGATTTTCACTCACATAATGCTGTTTGCCTTTAAGTCCTTGGGAGAAACTCTGTCAGGTCCACTTTCGTCGATCGAACTTTGGCACTTCTGAGCAACTTGCAATAATTGGTTTACCTGTGGAAGGCATTTGTTCACGAGTTACACCATCAAAATGTAATGCTGCATATCTAGACCCACTTTTATGCTAGATGGTGTTTAGAGTCCATATTTGGTGCCACAGATCCTATATCTCTTATCTCACAGAGTAAAAAGGAAAAAAGACTAGCACATTGATTAAAGCTGGGATGTCAACTTAATATATTGCTCAGAAGTGTCAGTAATGCCACTAGCAAAACTAACAACTGGCAAGCCTTAACTTCATTGAGAATGTCACTTGACTTCTTCATAATTGTATAAAATAAAAAAAGATCAAATTCAAGAGATGAGTATATCAAACATTATACAATATTTACCTGTGGTGCAACTAATCTACGGGGAAGAAGTTCTTCATGGCGCCGAGCACAGAATTCCCAAGACAGTATCTGTAAATGATCAGGAACAGAAAGTGGTAAAAAAGTAAATTGAAAAATAAAAAACAAAAAATATCCAAGTCAAATTTACTTCCCAGTTTACCTTTAATTCGGGGGTGAAAATAATACGTAGCTGACCCTCATGAACAACACGAAGTTGCTCATATATACTTTCTTGAACTGCCTTTGAATACTCCACCATCATCATTCCTGAAGGGAGTCTACACTCACTTGGCAAGTCCAAGAACAAGATCTCATCAATGACACCACTGCTAAATTTGATTTCATTAAGTCTAGGGAGTATTTCAAAAGTTGCCTCTATTGACCCCCAGCAAGAAAGAGGAAAAATAGGGTTAGAACATATAACGTGAAGGCTGAAGTTCAATATATACTTGGCATGAGATGAATGAAGCTTCAACAAATTCTGCAGTAATCTCAATTTAGAGTCCTAAGCATCACTTGTGACTATATTATGCATATGTATCTGTAGATTTAGCAGTAAAGAGAAGAAAAGTGCTATTATAATCTAGATGTTGAAAGTAACACAAAATATACTTTTACTAAAGCCGTAATTCTTTTAGACCTGTTCTCCTATAAAATAATATAATAAAAAACGTAAATAAACCATAACAAAAATATAACAGTAGAAGCAAAGAGACAAAGTTGGAATAATTAACGACTAATACAAATTAAGCAAAAAAATAGATACGCTAAGGAATGGATACTTAAGTCGTAGGAGGGAGCTAGGAGTCTTCCCAATTTGACTGTAGGAAGCAGTGGTGTAGAAGAAAATGGAGCTCGTAAATGAAAGACGCAGAGTGGAGTTTGAAAGAGGCAGAGTGGAGTAAGACGATGGCAGGGGAAGTTTGGAGATGGAAAAGGACACGAGATGAGACAGAGATAGAGACTCAAACTTTCTCAAAAGGTCCATTACAGTCCATCACAATGACTAATTTGACAGACTCCAATTTTTCAAAACTACAGCATCTTATACTTCAACCTCCTTACAGCTTTTTGAGGTCCCTGAGGTTAAAACATCAGTTCAATGCCAGATAACTAGATTTTCCCATTGAAAATTGCTGGCAATTCAAGAGTATCCCATAGTATACAAAAACCTACTGCCCCATAAGCATGTTTTAAAAGTTAAACAATAAGGACAAGTTAAGGAAATGACCGTGGCAAAACATAATATCTTACCTGAAGCACAATATAATTAACATTTATGGGCAAGGAAAGAAAAGAAAATCAAACATAGAGAACTGGAAAACACAACTCACCAAATCCCCTCCCAGATTTTGAACCACAAATGTCACATTGCCATGCATCCTGAACAAAAAGGAACCGATAAAAAATGACTGATCAGAAATTGTGCTTCTCAGAAATGCCACCCAGGGACATATTGGAAGGAAAGATAAGAGAGGACCGAGGAGGTAAAGACAATTCATAAATGCGAGAAAAATTGAAGGTAAGCAATTAGTTATATAATATATTTGTAGTTCTGTGTATCCATATCAGCTGAAACTTCAAGTCAAACTATAACACATTGAGCAAATATAATCGACCATCCAAAAGAATTACCATCGCTGCCTGGGGGAATACCCCGAGCGATTGATGGCCAACGTTATCATACAAGGATAGACACCACCTCTTCTTTGCACGTGGAGAGTAATATTCAGCCACAAACTTCTTCCAATAAGCATAAGTGTTGTCCTGGCAAGATAGAATTAGTTAAAAACAGAATACATGAGAGACAAATTTCAATATTAACAATTGGAATAGAGGGAAAATAGAAAATCAATACTACTAAACATACATTTGATGTAAGATGAGGTGTGGGGAAAGAAAATAATCCCACCAAACACGTCAGATGCAAATTGTGTGTCGGTGAAAGATAATAGATGGTAGAAACAAGTTGTAAAATATGGTACCAAACTGCTAATTGACAGATATTTACTCACAGGAGGCCGCTGTCTCTGATGAAACAAGTATTGCATTAGGCGGCGAGAGCATACACCGTTATCATTGGGACGCTTCACTGCAGATGCAGGTTGCAATCCCCGTTGTTGAAACTGCTGCCTTAACTGCAACTGCTGCTGTTGCTGCTGCAGCAACTGAGCCCGCTGCATTGGTGTCATAGACTGTAGAAGCTGTTGTTGTTGTTGCCTTAGTCTCTGCTGCTGAATCAGAGCTTGCAACTGAGGACTTGGGTTCTGTAAGTTCATGGGATCTTGTCTCTGTAGCAGCTGCTGCAGAACCTGCTGTTGTAAAATATCTTCCTGCTTGATATCCAATCGGGGTTTCTTTTGCAGATGAGACACATTCGTAGGATCTTGAATGAAGGCACTAGGGAGCCTTGGAGCACCAGGAAGCTGAATTTGTCCCATCTGAGACGTAGGTAAAGATGTGGCACTTGAAGCTCCCTGATGCTGCTGCCTTTGCTGGACTTGTTGGGAGCTTGGATCTTGATGTGAGCTTTGCTGCACAACAGAGGAACCATCCATAACAGACGAACCAGAGATGCTAATGTTGTTAGATGAGAAGGACATGGGTGACGCAGGCAAGCGCATGTAAGATTCTGTATTAATGCTAGCACTTCTCTGCAGACGGGGGCCTCCTGATAGTCCTGAATTGGCATCTGTGACCAAAGAACTTGCCCCGACACTTGGCCCTGAGCTTGCTGCACTGTTCAATACTGTATTACTAACATCTCCGGAAACCAAACCCATATTAACAAAAGCATTCTCTGGTATTGAATTAGACGAGTTCCCAAAACTCAATTGGGGATTTCCTTGGACCTGGGATTGCCGGTCTCCTTGGAAAAAGATTCCAGAACTCGAAGAAGAGTTTGTCATACCTCCATTCACCCGAGGGAGCACCATTGGACGCACCGTTACCTGGTGGCTGAGATTCAAATATCTACATAGTTTTAAACTTCGCAAGCCAAGCTAGACTCAAAAGCTGATATTAGGAAAAAATTAACTTCATCCAAACACCAAAGAACATCTCCAAAAATGCTCTTATTTAAAGAGCATATTTTTATATATAAAGATAATCTAATAGAAAATATGAAAAATAAAGAGTGAGATTTTTTTACAACTCCAATAATACTCTTTATATTTATTCTTTATTCTGCTTTATTTCCATAAGCTATTATAATGTAATTTTTTCTCCATTGTCTACCTTACTTTCATCCCTAATATTTTATCATTTTCCTTGCACGTTTCTTTATAAACTAAAGAGATGCAGGCAAAGTTGAAAAATATTGCATGAAGGCAATAAAAGTATAATATGGCTCTGGAGAGTCAATTTAACTCTTCATTTTAAATTTTAAATTTAAAGAGCTAGTTGGAGCCCTAAAAAAGAAAATTGACTCCTACAACATAGAAAATTAAGCTAATAAAGAGCTATTGGAGATGCTCTAATATAAAGATCCAAAATCTAAATTTAAGATAAAAAGAAAAAAGAATCTTGCAGATTCATGTTCTCGCGTAACCCCCGTGTTTTAAGCTCGAAACACACCAACCTTCAGACAAATTTTCTAAGAGTTCTTGAAGAAAAGGAAAAACAGAAGCATAAAGCTCAGTAGGAGAGAACTCAAGAAAACAAACCTAGCATGGACAATATTCACAAAATCAATCCAGAACGAATTGAAACTTAAAAAAATCAAGAAGCTCTATATTTTGACCACTGAGATTAAAAACACCCACACAGTAAAGCCGTAACAATGAGCTGAAAACAGGACAGATTTTTCAGTCACAATTGAAATAAAACTAATTAATTTCTTTATTAATAAATCAATAACAACCATCCCAGATAAAAAAATAAAAAAGCGATCGAAGTCAAAAATCAGTTAATTCAATAAATTACTAACCAAGTTCTAAATCAACAGTGAAAAATCCGCTAACCTCTTCTATTCAGCACCCATTTTACACCTAACATTCACAATTATTAAAATCGAAAATTTATACAAGAAATGATTAAAATAAAAATGTACACCAAGGAATCAAAGCTTTATGCTTCAACAAATTACGAAAAAAGAAAATAGAGTAAAATTAATAAAATTTAGATGAAATTAATATAAGAAAGCAAAGTATTGAAATCCGAACCTGTAATTGCTGGGAGAATTTTGCTTTTTCTGTACTGATCGAATTTATATACCTAGCGGAAATTGGAAGACGGCGTGACATGCTACAGGCGGTAGATGCCAGCTGGTGACCGGGTATGGGCAGTGGTTTTTTGACACGTGTCTGTAATTACAGGAGCATTGAGTCAACAGTGTCAAACGCGAGGTCATCAGGTTTCATGAATTTCGTGGCGAGATAGTATTGGTTCTAAACAAAAAAAAAAAAAAAAAAAAAGTTGAACTCCAACTTTGAGGGTCCTACCGTCCCGCCCTTAGAGCTTTGTGAGGGAGGTAAATCGCAGGACGTGCTTCAACAAGTCAGGGAACAAAAACTGTTTGTACACTGTGCCTACAGGAAGTCCAATTCCATATCTCAGGAATCGAACTCTCACACTGCGGCTGCCAGTAAGGCGTGGGATAACCTCACTCCTATCATTTGCACTACTGGACTATGCCCCGAGAGGCAAGATAGTATTGGCTCTAGAATTTAATAAGAATTATGTATTTGCAATTGCTCATTATCGCAGTCGCACTGCGTGGCATACATATGGCAGTTATAATTTAATAAGAATTATGTATTTGTAATTGCTCACTATTGCAGTCACACTATGTGTCATACATATGACATTTAGTAATTAGATGCATGAGGCAATAAAAAAATTACTACATTGATGCATTAAATCACTAAACGCCGTATGTATATTAAGTAGAACGACTATATCAGTAAGCGATTGCAAATAGTATTACTCATTTAATAATATTCGATTAAATCGGGATTATTCTCTTGTGCTTGTGATGGATTTGCAAGAACACAATTTACCTCTTGAAGACAATCATAGTGCGACTTGAGTCAAGTGGAGTTGGGCAAAAATGAATTCAAATAGTCCAAACCAATCAATCCAGTACGGGTTCTTTTTAAGTTCAATATGTGCTGGGTTGGATTAGAAAATCAAATTTAAGGTCAGATTGAATTGTGTCTTGAGTTATGAGTCAAAACCTAATTCGACATGACCCAACAAATTAAAAAAATTAATACTTAAAATGAAAAAATCTACATAGACATAATAATGGATATAAGATAAAGATTAAGAATATACAAACGCCCATTTTTTAACATAGGCTAGTTGGTATGAATACAATGTGCAAATGCAAAATAGTAAAACAATAAACTAAAAATTAAGGACACGAAGTGAAATGAATAAATTTCAAAAAATTATATAAAAAAAAAATTCCATAGTTTCAAACTTATTTATAAACTAATTTTCAGAAAGAATTTTTTATATAGGTTAAAAATAATGAAAATTTTCAAGAAGTTTCAAACTTTAAAAATTGTTCAAATTCAATAAAAAAATAATTGAATCCAACTTGAAATGGGCCCAACCCAAGCACAAACCAACCAATCCAATCCAACCTATGCCAACCCTAAGTCAAGTACGTAGTGAAGAAAGGGCCTTTTTAAATTATAGTCTATTTTTAATGGGGAAAATTTCATAAGTAAGAAATTAATTATGGCACATTTTAAAAATAAGAAAACAAGTTTCAAATTTCAAAAATCAGATTTTTATTAAAAATTATTTATAATTTAATTAATTAATTAATTAATTATTTTAGCAATTAAATATATTTAAGTCACGAATTTATATAATTTGGTCACAAATTAACGATTTAATTTGTCACTTATTTTTTTTTGTCACAAATTATTTTACGATCACATTTCAAATATTTTATAGGTCACAGTTTGTTCATCGGTCACAAATCGAAAAATTCATAAGTCACAATTTATTTATTGGTCACAAATATTACAAGTCACAGCTTATTTTACAGTTACAAATTTTCGATCACAAATTAACATTTTTTTAGGTCACACATTATTTTTCGATCACAATTTATCTTTTTCATTAGCTACATATTATTTATTGACTACAGATTAATTAATTTAATGATCACAGTCAACCAAATAATTTGTGACCACCACCAACACTTACGATTCACAGTCACAATTTTCAGGTCACATATCCAATTGTGAGTCACAAATCAACCAAATCGCCACGGCCACCACAACCAACTATGACTCCCGAATTGTGAGTTACAATTGGAAGTCACAATCACAACTTTAGGTCACGGGACCTATTATTTGTCACAAAATCATCCAAACCGCCAAAACCATCACCACAACCACTGTAATCCACCACCACAACCACCGCAATCCACCACCACAACCACCAGCATAAACTAATGTAAAAATCACTACAAAACAATATAAAACCATCGTCGATTTACAACTGCATAACCACTATCACCACCAACCCCAACGCCAACGCCGCCACCACCACCACCAACATCACAGCCAGCAGCACTACTTTCTGTAACAAAAATCACAACCACTATCTCAAATTACACCACATTCAACAAGAAATGCCCAAATCACCACTCTATCAACAATGTCGTTGCCTCACCTCTCTGCACAGTTGCAGTTGGCCTCAGTTGAATCGTTAGATCTATTGCAACCAGTTGAGCCATCGGCGATGATGGGCGCTTGTGGTGACTACCGGAGCAACTCCATTGCCAGTTGTCGAATCTGAATTGATGAAAGGAGAGAGGGGCGAGCAGCACACCAGTTGAGTCACCGGCCGCTCGTCTGACGATGACAGGTGCTTGCGGTGACAACCGACCAGAGCATCTTCATCGTCGGCTGTTGAATCTGAAATAATGAAACAAGAAAGAGAGAGGGGCGAGCCGGCGTCGAGAGAGAGAGAGAGAGAGAGGAAAATAAAAATAAATTAGGGTTGTCTAAAATTTGTATTATAATATTTAATAATTAAAATATCTGATTTTTGAACAATGAAATCTTCCCTATGATTTTAGAATTTTGATCTTGAAAAGAAGGTAGAGATGGAATTTCCATTTTTTAATAATATACGTACTTATTAACAAGAAATTACTTGCTCAAAAAATAATAATAAATAAATAAATAAATATAAAAGTCATATAACTAATTTGACTTAGTGTCCGTTTGGCCCCATTATTCCTCTCATTATAATAAGAATTTGATTTTGGAGTAATATTTTTTGGAGACTGTGTGGTTAAAAATGAAAGAATTTTTTTTTTTACATGTAATATTATTTTATTGAAGAATGTGTAGTTGATAAGAAAAGAGAGAAAAATAAATTATAATTTAATGGGAGCCAAACAAATTCTTAAAAATCTCTGTCTCTAATGAAAATGTTGTATGTAATTTGATAAGTAATATCTGTCCTTAAAATGTCATAAGCTGACATTTATCTTTTGTTGAGAAGAAGTTGGTTCATTTCAGCTATATTGTGATTCAAAACAGCCCCACTCCATTAGGGGGGCGCCATTTTTATTTTTTTTGGCCGGTTTTTGAACCTGGACAGAAAGCAGGGTTAGCCGAATTGTAGAAAAAAAAAATTGATTTGTTTGCCTTTTAAGCTAAAACATGCTGTTGATTCGATTTTATTGATTTAAGAAATAGATCGAACCGAGATCTGGTGTCGGCTAAGCGTTGTTGGGCCTGTACTCGAGACGAGTTGAAGAGCTGACAATAGGCCTCTTAAATTATGTTGGTTTTTAAGGTCCAAAAGCTTCGGATAATTTTGAGGGTGCAAACCTGCAATCCTATATTTGCCCCAATAATAATAATAATAATAATAATGAAATAGAGAAATGTTATCTAAAGGGAGAGAGGATGTATGTTTATCTTGTGTTTTCATATAGGAAATAAGTTTTTAAATGTTTTTTTTATTTATTCTTAAGATGGAAAATCGTACTCGAAACAATGTTTGGGTTAATAGTTGTTATTTTGTTACCAAAGGAGATAATTTTTCTCTTATTTATTTATATATTGTCTTTGACATGCACATCGATATGCTGGTCGTGTTATTTTCCACTAAATATACTTTGAGATGCAAGAATGAGTGGCCATTTAACGAGTGTACGGTACAATGGCGAAGTTCACGACATGGCGGCCCAAGACAACAGTTACTGGGCCCAATAGAAACTAGACGGAACAACTTGGTTCTAGGCCCAAGAGTATGATCGTTCATGATCGGGTGTGGTCATATATTCATTGTGATGGTCGAGAAGGGAGAAAATCTACACTTCCTCTCTTTAATCGATTGTCTTGATTTGATGATGCATTGGATTAATCACCAATTATCAATTTTGACCTTTCTTGAATCTTGATCGTAATTGGTCCAAACTCTAATTTATCCTAAGGTGACAAATGTCTTCTATTGAGTTGTATAGCCCTATTTATCATTGCATACTCTATATATAACATGGAGGCCAGTAGCTCCGTCGTATCATTAGCTTATTTATCCTATGTTTAGTCATAAATATTACATAGTAAACATTCAAGGTGTAGTTATAATCCAGTATATGTATGGCAGGCCTCCTTTGCCACAAGAAAAAGTCTAAATTTTGTTTGATAGACCAGTGATAGCCTAAGTCTTGTTCGGCTTATCAGGGCCCGCAATCTGTCTATTGCGGCAAAGCCCCTTTTGAAGTGGTGGGACTGAAAGATGTGCATTGTGGAAGGTTGATAGACAGCTCAATGAATGATGATTTTAGGAGGAAAATCCTGAAAAATACGACTCACTTTATATATCTACATGTGGGAGACTAAAGGAGTTTGGGAGAGTGTGCACGAGATTAAATTCATTGTTTCGAACTTGAAGTTCTCTAATAAAATTTTTAACACCTTGACATATGGCATTTCTTTAGCAAATAGAAAGACCCCGACACAATTTTCGACACAAGGATAAATTGCATCTTGACGTCTTCCCATTTGCTAAGAAAATGTGATAGATAGAATTGTCAAAAATGTAATATAGGAATAAAACGAATTTCAGCTAGTTGTGTAAGGTTGA